TAATTTATTATAATTAATATATATATATAATTATTTGATTATTTTAATTTGACTTTTTTTCCGTGGTTTATTTTTCCCATGGCTTTTTATTCTGTGGATTATTTTTCCCGTGGCTTTTTTTCTCTGGATTTTTTTTATTGGCTTTTTTTTCCTACATTCGCTTGAAAGACGGAGAAAACAAATAATGATTGTGTAGCGTCCTCTTAATTGTTTTCCAAATCAACCATTAATACTAATCTACATATACTATGATACATAGATATATAAATTTTAGGTATCTGGTATACATTATAAATCGTGATAAGTGATAATGGGCAATTTATTTGTTGTTTATTATTTATTTATTTATTAAGTGTAAATCCAAACAACATTTGGGTGTACATTATTATTTCCTTACACATACGTTTGGCCCCATATATTTTCCTTTCCGCACGTAAAAGCATATTTTTTGGGTGGTCTATTTACATAACCCAAAAGACAAAATGTTGTACCTACTTGTCCTACCTACTAWTTTGGTTTTATTTCAATTCGTCGATTTTCAAAAATGTCCGTACAGATTAATTTTAATTTAACATGTATCTGTTGATTGATTTATTTGTTATTTTTCTAATAATATTGTGTTTTTTAAACTATTATAGTTTTGCGCCCAATTTTTAAGTAAGTACCTACGTTTTTGATAACGTGCCCAGTGCCCACACATGTTACGCTCCACTGTGTCACATCATTTAACAATCTAACATAATATCCAACTCGATTTAAATATTTTGTTGCACATAATTATCAATATTTTCTATGTGTAGTGTAGATAATTTTCTAGTTATAGTTGTAAATAAATCAACAAAATATACGATTTTTACAACATTACTTGTATCATCTGTTATTGCCTAGGMAATGACAATACCGTCTACTTATGTTAGGCTTTAATGATRTTGGCTAGACGTTTACGTTATAACCTAAATTAAATCATTGGCGGTAACATATTATATAAAACTATAATCTATATTGTAGGTTGTAGAATACGTAAAAAAAGGATGTGTAGTGTGTACCTTTGCAATGAATAAGCACCTATATACTAAAATTATATACTATTGTTTATTACCATATAAAATATAATTTAACAAGAAAGGTATGAGTATATAGTGATTTTATAAGCGAAGTTTATTTATTTACGTGTCTGCAGTCATCAGGCCCGGATTTATAGAACAAAGGGCCCCGGGGCAAATAGCTAAAATGGGCCCCATTAAGGCACTAAAAATTTAACAAAATAAATGATATTTTGAATTCTTAATTTTTGTCTAGGGGCTCCATAACATTGTGGGCCCTGGGGACGCGACAACTCTCCC